CCAGATTAGTGGCGCCGCCGAGCGTGGCGATCTCCGCCAGGATGCTGTCGATGGATGCCTGCAGAGCCGTGATCTCGCTGGGCAGGGCGAAGGGTCCTGCGCTCTGCAGCGCCAAGATGTCGGCGTCGTGGCCGTCCAGCCGGCCGTCTCTGAGTGCCAGTGCGGCGTTGAGGGCCGCTTGCTGCACGTAGGCCAATAGAGCCGTGGCGACGCGCTGGTCCACGTCGGCGGCTGTTTGCCGGGCCGCCAGATCGATCGCCAGCTGGTCCACCACCGATTTCAGGGCGTAGGTTGCCGCAACAGTAGCTAATGTGGCGTTGTTGGCCGAAGCGATGCTGCTGTTCGTCGCAGCCGTCGTGGGGTGACTGGCTAATTTGAGGTCCACGGAAGCGGGCGTCGATTTACCATTGACCTCGACCTGAAGAGCATCCAGGGCCGACTGGTTGGCTTTGGTGGCCAGGCCCTGGGTCAGGCTGGTGTTGACGGCCACCAACCCGGAAGCGTTGGCCAGGATGGAGCCCTCTGCTGCGGCGAGGTCCGCCGCCAGGGCGTAGGGAGTCAGATCCGGAGCTGCGGGCAGGGCGGACAGTTGGCCCTGCAGCACCGCGATGGCTGCTGCGTTGACTCCGATGGCCGCGGTGTTTGCTGTGTGCTCCGTCTGTGGGGTGTAGGCTGTGAGCACCGTCGCCAGCTGGCCGGCGGAGATGCCCTGAAGCTCGATGACCGGCGGGGGTGTTGCGCCGTCGTCCAGGATCCGCCCGGTCAAAGTGGAAGGAAACAAACTCATTTACATCTAGTGCCCGGGCTCTGCGCCGGCCAGCTGGCGACGGTGCTCGAAGAGGGCAAAAAGGGTGCAAAAATCACTCAAAATAGCGATTATCCTAATTATCCTAATCGAGGACCGACACGCCGGAGCCTGAAAGCGTTACAATTTGATAACTGAGTTGGTGTATGTATATTCTCTGGACCCGGTCCGGCTGCATGTTCTTGCAGGTGAACCTCGCGAGGTCGCCGGAGCGCGTGCTGATGCCGCTCAGAGGGTGCTTGGGTACACGCTCCACGGGGAAGGCACAAATGAACTGGTTGTTGCTCCACTGGTTGTCGGCAATTCTCACATTTTTTATGGTCGAATCGTAGGTTCCGGCCAAAATCTCGAGGAAGTGGAATGCCTCCGCGTCGCTGGCCATAGGATAGCGGGGATATTGGAGCGCTCCCAGCTGCATTTGGGACTCCAGAGAGTTTGCCGAGAACTGGTTCCCGTCGCCCGGATGCTCGAAGTTGGCGCACTCGCCGAGCTGCAAATCGTTGACGTCCCGAAAGGTGACGAAGCATCCTAGTAATTTGCTCCAGGCGCGAGCCACTGTTACATTGAAAGAAGTGCTGCCGGCGGGGATGCTGGAGACCTGGGTGTGCATCGTTGGATACCCGAACGTCAAACTTCTGCCCGAAAGCATGATTTTTTCGAAGCTGTCGTACATCGCCGAATCAAGGTCGACTTGACTGGCCAGAACTCGGACATTTTCGATGGTGTAATCCGTCGAACCTTCGCCGGGGCGCAGGGCGTCGGCGGCCTCACTAAATTCCAATTCCAAACTTAGGTTTAATTGAGGAGGTAGAAATCGCCCTGCCTGGAAAAGACCGATCAAAGTTGGCGCCATGAGGGTGTCCTTGAAGCTCTCCGCCGGGATGGGCGCCGGCGCGCCGCCGACTTCCCAGAAGCCCGTGATGCCCTTGTTCCTATACCATTCGGCGGGCTTCAGCAGCGAGTACAGGTAGCAGCAGTGCCCGTATTCGCTGATGTCATCACAACGTTGACCATTGGCGAAGAGCTGTACCCGCTTGATGAAGCACGAGGGCTCCTGCGTGCCGGGGTTGAGGGCCAGGGTGGCCGAGTTGTTGCGCACCCGGAAAGCGATCTTGACGCTCTCGGGATCTATGAACGATCGACCGCTCGTAAGCGGTATTCTAGCCACTCTGGACGTGGTGGGGGTGAACGTCGAGAGACTCGATGGAAAGTATTGCACGTCTTTGCGGCTCATCACATAGTTCACGTTCGAAGAGGCCAGACGATAATTGAGGCTTTGTACGAGCTCATCTTGGACCCCTTGTGAGATGTTCTCCATGACCCTTTACTACCTACGCAAGTTCCGGTTCGTTCCTCAACTGGTCGAACGACGGCTGGGTGCCGAGGGGCCCGCGGTCCGAGCGAGACTGCCGGCTGATGCGGGAGCGGTCGCTGTCGGAAGAGACCGGGATGGGTGGGGCGTTCAAGCCGAAGGGCATCGGCTGCGCCCTCGGCCGCCGAGCCGGGCGGGCCACGATGCGTTGCTGCGGCTGTGCCTGCGGCTGGGGCTCGTCCTCCGACGTGTCGATCCTGAAGACCTGCGGGCGCTGCTGCTGCCGGCGCATCTCCTGAACCTGGAAGTGGTCCACGGCGCCCGACTCTTGCATCCCATTCAGCGTCTGCACATCCGTCGTCATGCTGGGCCGCGAGGCATCGGAGTCCGTGCCGCCTCCAGCATTGTCCATCATGAAGCCCGCCATGTTGGCGGCTCCCTGAATCGCCCAAGCAGTTCCCACGATAGCAGCGCCTGCGCCTGCAACGGCCAAGCCTCCCGCCGCAGCGCCCACCGTCCCCGCAGCTGCGAGGGCTCCCTCGCCGAGCAATGCCAAAGCTCCTCCACCCGCTTCCGCCGCAGTTGCCGCTTCGGCCCCTGCCGCTGCAGCCTCCGCCGCCGTGACAAAGCCTTCTGAAGCTTCCGCCTCCGCCAGCTGCTGTGTGGCGAACTGCTCGATGTCTTGCGCGGCCGCTCGCTCCACCTCCGCGGCTCTCTGGCCGGCTCGCTCCAGCAAGGGCTCGACTTCGGAGGGTCTGCCGATGATTTGCGGCGGGGGCACTTCGTCTGGCGGCGGGCCCAATCCGGGCGGCCTCCTCGGGATCCGCAGCGTGCGGTCCAGCCAATCTCCTCCGCCCCTCAAAACGTTGAAGGTCTGGTTCTCGGCGACGCTTCGGCTCGCCGCCGCAGCGCCCGCAGCGCCCCCTGCGATGATCGCCTCCGCGGCTTGGATGCCCGATTCCCTCATGCGACCTCCGAGCGTCGGGGGCCTCGGAGGGTTCAGACCGTCGTTGCGCAGGGCCTGGCCTGGGTCCATGCCTCCGTCATCGGAGTCCGGTAGAAAAGATGGGCGAGTGAACTCTCTGGGCGGGCGAGGGAAGGGAACTCCGTCGTAACCCTCGTCGGCTGTTTCAAAAGCAGCCGCTGGGTTCAGCTGGGTGTGGGGCATCGGTGCATCGCTGATGGGCTCGGGGGCATTGGGGTAATCGTCCAGGTAGAAGTGGCTGGATGTGTAGATGCTCGCCTTGCGGTTGGGTAGGGGGATGTCGAGGGGCTCGCCCTCAGCTATCATTGCGACGTGTTTTTCAGCACTGTGACGAGGTCCGCCGACTTTGCCTTGACACGGCAGCTACGATCCACGACCTTAAGGCTGGTAAAACCAGACCCCAGTGTGTTGGTGGACTCCAGATTTTCATCGACCTTTCCAAGGCATTCGATGTAATGCCACGCTCAAAGCTGTATGAGGCCTTATTACAGTCTGGAGCGCCGAGTGCAGAAATTGAACTGATCATGATGTGGCATGTCCGTTCCCAGTACTTTTTGAATGAAGCCCCTGACTCCCCGGGTATTGTCACATCACGTGGAGTGCGGCAGGGTTGCAAGGCAGCGCCTACATTATGGCTGGCGTTTTCTGCTCTATGCTGTGAACTACTCGACAAGAAACTATATCCCGGCTGGTGCAGCAAACATATGGTGATTTATGCAGACGATCACCACATCTCTTTCTGCTTTCGCACACTGCTTGAGCTTGAGGCCGCCGTACGCTCAATAAGCGTCGTCTACACAGTGCTCCACGCTATGGGTATGGAAGTCTCAGCCCCCAAGTCGGCTTGTATCTTCACATGCAGGGGTACACTCAAAGGTTTGGTACACAAGCGCTTTGTCGGCACGATCAAAGATCAAAAAGTCTTGAAGGTCCCGAATGGTGGCTCCACACTGCATATTCCCATTGTATCCGAGCATGTTTACTTGGGGACGGTGGTTAGCTACTCACATTTCGAGACACAGACATTACAACACCGTGCAACGATTGCCAGAGCCCGCTACTATCAACTGAAGACTGTACTCAACAATCGAAGCCATTTGTCTAGACGTGACAGGCTCAATATGTGGATGACGTGCATTTGGACCACTCTGAGTTATGGCCTCGTTGAGTGCGGGATGACCAAGCAGGGTTGCGTTCGCCTCCAAAGCATTATGATGCAGCATGTCCGTGCCATAGTCGTCTCGCCAGCTCATATTGATAGGATCTCGGACACCGAGGTTCTGAAGAAGTACAATCTGTTATCACCGCATTGTCTTTTGCTGAAGCTGGCCACCAAGCGGCTGGAAAACGCATGTCACTGTGATTCAGCGAGGCCATGGACCGCATGGTTCCAAAGCACAGCGTGGGCTGTGGAGGTTCGGGACAAGTTACAGTCCTTGCAAACTGACCGCGTGCAAGCTGCTGAGACGAAAATCTCCCTGAGACAAGATGCATGCTCGACATCTGCGCCAGCTCAGCCTGTCGAAGTCCCTGCCAGTACTAACGTTGAAGATGCTATGCCTCTCAGGTCGGATGCCCCTGAGTTCTTGGAGCAATGCACCTGTAATTTATGTGGCAGAGCCTTTACAAGTCAGCTTGCGTTGCGACTTCACAGCTTTCAGAAACATCACATTCAGACAGACAAGACTGGAGCTTTCGATAAGGCTGTCCATGCACAAGATGGTGTTCCGATCTGTTCTGGTTGCGGGAAAAAATTTACAAGGTGGAGCGGACTAGAGCGACATATTCGCGAGCACCGCTGTCCTAAACAATTATGTGTGACTGATCGCTCTGCTGCAAATCCAGCTCCTGTCACATCTACCCCTATAGCTGCAGGCATCAAGCATTCCCCGGAAGCAATGCGAATCCTTCATCAACATGGTGTGCATCAGTTTGCCCTACATGGTACGTATGGCCAGATCCTCAAACAGACGTGTGCATGGTGTGGGCAGTGGATTGCTTCCCCGTACATGGTCAAGAATCACTTCCACAACTCGCACCCGGAACTCATGCAGCAGTACTCCTCTCAGCTCAATAAATTCCTTAGTGACATTGTGCCTCGATTCCCGTGCGCCTACTGCACTTCTACTGTGAAGGAGAAGGCTCGGCACATTCCGAGGTGCGCTGTGTTGTTCCAAGCTGCATTACTGATGGCATCCACCAAGGATGACACTACCAGCAGATCAAGTTCAACAACTCTTCGGAGGAATACTGAGCGAGGACCACAATCCCAGACCAAACAAAGCACCCAAATCCCAGCTGAGGCAGGACAAGGGCACAGGAAAAGGGGGAAGAGGATGGTCAAAGCGCAGCAGAGAGGCCCCACCGATGACACATGCGCAACAAACAAGTGGCGACACGGAACACCTGATCAGCCTTCTGAGCCGACTCGTCCTCAGACACGAAGACTCAGTAGCAGTGCTGAGGCAAAATACGGGTTGGGTGATGTATCTTCAAACACAGAAACATGCGTGCTCCGTGGTCGACATCCTAGTGAAGCTTTCCGTGAAGTGGCACTCAGCGGCTCAGAAAGAGGCACCAGTCGGTCGAGTCCCCTTACGATGCATCCTCCTACAAGGTCTGGTTCAGGAGCTCCTCAACAGGTTGAGCCGTCAGGAAGTGGTCGATGCAGCAAAACAAGCGGGATGGGTGACAGACGACGGGTGGATTTATCAGGTTTGGTGCCCAAACAGCCGATGTCTCAAAGCAAACGGGAGCAAATCCCCAATGTCCCATGCGACGATGCTGGAAAAGCTACAGACTTTGCAGCGGGCTCTAGCGAACGACTCCGCAATCCACCGTTTCAGATCATTGAGACCCCTCCGGGAGCAGATGGAAGGCGAGACAGTGGTTATGCTATTGGACTTAGCGATACTCGAGGAAGATGGCAAGCTTGCCCAGGCACTCATGCAGGAATTGACGGGAAACTCCGTATGTCAGGTCGTAGGCCTCCAGTTCCGGAGAGAGTCGCTGCAGCGTTCTTCATTGGCGCGGGAGCTCCAGCAGACATTGAACGACTCCTACATGTCCTAAGTCTTCGCAACAGCACCCAGATTTGTTACGCGAACTCTGTGATTCTTGCATACCTGTGGTGCATACGCTTTAGTTCTCTTTCGTGGTTGCAAGCACTCGGCCTCGCTGCACATCCCATGGAACTATTGCTACAGGTACATCGTCCCACCTTGACTTCGTTCCATCAACTCACCTTCCTGTGGCAGGATTGGCCTCGACCTCACTTACAACATGATGCTTCAGAGTTTTGGGCTCATTTCCTGTCAACCACAGGTGGCATTGCTCGTGTTGGAGAATGGGAGGCTCGCAAAGCAATCGAGGCTGGCATACGAATTATGGTTACCGGCTCCAGCGCGCAGGCTTTGACCATCCCGGTGCCAACACCAAATCATTCAGGCTCGACTTCCGTACAAGCGTGCATCACAGCGTGGCGACGCCAACATAGATCTCAGATGTATGCTTTTACAGCGCTGCCACCAGTATTGTGCCTGCACCTTGAACGATACACTTATGCACATGGCAGAGTTCGTAAAACCAAGGTACGGCTACAGCTTCCTGATGAGGTCATTCGGATACCCAAATTTGCTAATGACACCTCGCTGGACATAGAGTACATGCCATACCGGTTGATATCGGGCATCATTCACATGGGCTCGTCAGTCCACAATGGTCACTACACGACTTTCGCGCACCGTCCTGAAGGCATATGGCTTATGGATGACAATCGTAAAGGTCAGTGGATATCTCAGCTTTCGTCACAACAGCTTTCCAACATATACATGTTGTGGGCGATTCCGGACACAGCAGCTCCTCCAGGCGGATCGTGAATGGGTGCAGCGAGTGCGCTACTCAATGCTACCTTTGATGATTTCTTTCGTGAAGCTTGATCTTCCAGTGAGGCCTCGCTGACTCTGAAGCGTGTGATTGCACATGTTTCCTTCCTCCCGCATTTTGCGGTGGTTAATTAACTAGCGCCGTGGCCAGCTGCTGTAGCGTGCTTGGTCACGAGTGACGACGCTCTCCCGTACAGTGCAACCTGCTTTGCCTTTAGGGGCGGGGTTGTTTTTGCTGACGTGTGTTTGTTGGTCTTGAAGTTTGCAACGCAAACGAGCTCTAGAAGCTCCGGGTACCCTGGTTCACCCGTTCTCACCTGCCACAAGGCGGCTTCGACGCTGCTGTGCACAAAGTACAAAAGTAGCCGAGGACCTGGCCGAAGCTGGGCTTCACGCGGAAGCCGTTGCTTCTGCGCTCCTCCATTTACTTACAGCATCCCCCCGTAGACCTGGGAGTCGCTGGTGTTCCTGCCGGCGGCCACGTCCCGCGCCATGCGTTGGATGCCCGCGCGCTCCGCCGGAGCGTAGCGGAGCTGGGGAATCCGTCGGTTCACGGCCTCCGTCATCCTGCCGAGCTCGTCGGCGTAGGTCTCGCCTTCTTGGCGGAGGCGGCGGTTCGAGAGCCACTCGTTGAAAGCTTGCGCCTCAAGCACCTCGGCTCGAGTTTTGTTTGTAGTGTTTGGGGAGGGGTAGCTTGCAGTTCCTTGCGCTGGTGACTGGGCGCACCCGGCTAGCGCAAGACGGTGCTCAGGCAGACCTGCAGCACGCATAGAGGTGGGAGCGCCATAGGATACCTCAGCCATTGCTTTGCCTCTGAGGATCCTTTTTTCCATATTGCAGCTTTGGTGTAGCCGTGCACTTGGGAAACACAACAATTTCCGGCTCTGCATTTTCTCTGCGAATGGTTTTTCTTTTGCTGCTGATTAGTGGTCTTCTTGGTGTTCTTTCTGCGACCAATCAGACAGCATTGCTCCTGGACGCTGCTGCTGAACCTGAGCAAGAATGGACGAAGCATACAATTTTCTGCGGGAGCCCTGGCCAGTGCTGGCAAACGGAAGAGCTGAAGAGCGGCGTTGCCGCACGCCCATTCTGGAGCGACGGCCCTCCGAGGCGCTGGATCATGGACAGCTTGCGTTTTACCTGCGTTTTCGATGCATTCCAAAGTGGGCAGTTACAGATGCTGGCATTATGGCTTATTTCAGACAGTTTCCTAATCCTGACCCCAAAGCCAGAAGTGATATCTTTACACAGCTGGAGCGTGAGACTGTTGAGCGCGACATGGTCCAGACCCTGGCCTTGTTTCATTTTCTTCTGGAGGGGGATCACAGAGAGCAATTTTATGAAGACGTCTACGAGATTTTGGCGCGGCAGATTCGAAGCATGCAGAGACCAGTTCCGCTTGCTGACTTGTTGCATGAGCTACCACAGGATGCAGAAACAGAAGACAGTACATCACCCACGATCCTGGATACAGATGACTCGGGCACTGATGCCGAATTTTCGTGCAGCTGACAAGCGCCGCGGCCTCACTGTCATCATGCGAACCTGTCTTGGCAAATTTTGCTTTCGTTGGATTGCTGGAATAGGTGTACTGGGTCTGCTGCCTAGGTCTCCTGCTGGCTTTGGTTGTAGGCGTAACCCTCAGTCAACGTGCTGTCCATTCACTTGTAGAACTGCAAGCGTCCCCACGGTGGAGACGCAGCAAAGGCGCTGCGCTAGACCCAAATCTAGGATGCACAGGTGCGAGCGTGAATCACACAAGCACGCACCTGCAAAGAGCTGCCCTGGTCTCAAGTCCAGGGGTGGCGGGAGTACTTCGCCGAGTTATTTCAGGCGACTCCTCATGATGATGCTACTGCAGAGCAACTATCTTCCCGTCACAGGTGCGCGAGTTGACAGCGTTCCCACGGCGCTGTCTGGAGTACAGTCAGGACCTCAACACAGTAATGTACTCGATCATAGTGCGGTTCCTGGTTGTGCGAAGCGTAGTGGGGTTTTTGATACTTCTGGCCCTTACCTTGGAGCTGTTCGTAAACGCGCATACAAGCGTGCGTGTGGCAGGGCATTGCTTCGAGGTGGAACGTACTATAGAGGCCAATGGCACACTGCTAGCTCATTGCAGGCACAGCGCGTGCAAGCAACAGAGGAAGTCCCAGAATGTGATAGGCGACATCGTGGAGTGGTGGGCGGGCGTTCTCGCCTGTCGCCACGGCTCTTCGTCCTCACATGGAATGCTGGAGGCTTGAGTCTTGCCATGTTCGATGAGTTAGTCCTGCTGCTAGACACGCCTGCCTATGAGCATGTTTCAGCTGTCATCGTACAAGAAACACATTGGAAGCATGAGTCTACCTGGAGGGCATCGGGCTGGAGTTGCGTGCATTCTGGCTGCGAGTCTGAGTCCTACACGGGCATCCTGGTCATGGTTTTAGGGGTAAGCTTGCGTCGCATGAACTTATCAGGTACGATGTGGTGGCACCGGGGAGAGTCCTACATGTGCGAGTCCCGTTCGGACCTCATGAACATGATCGCTCGCTCGACCTGATTGGCATTTACCAGTACCCGTGGGACACTCGAAAACCCAGAGCGCAACTGCTTGAGGCGCGCGCGGGCATCTGGAAGAAGCTGGATGTTGTGCTGCGGCGCTTGCCTCGCCGAAACCTCCTGTTTGTCTGTGGCGACTGCAATGTGCAACTGCCGGCTCAGGACAGGCATGTGGGCACAGGAGTCGTATTGCGAGATTCTGAACGCCAGCAGGCCACTGACTCTTCAGCACTACTTAAGGTCGTCATGACTCATGATCTCTGTGCATTAAACACATGGCGGGGACCCAAGAAACAGGCTCACACCTACAGCATGGGGGATGCTCGGACCTTGATTGACTTTGTCTTTGTGCGTGTGTCGGATGCTGATAAGATCGCTAAAGGCTGCCTTCCATTACAGGAATTTCCTATTGCAGACTGGCGCTTAGATGGCAAGCATCGGGCTATCATTGGCAGCCTCTCCACCCGCTGGCAGGTCAGGGCCTGTCGAAGACGTGGGCCAAGCTACAATCAGGAGGCCCTCCTGTCGGCCTATCAGCAGGATCCCACTCTGTCGGAGGTGTTTAGTCGATTCGAGACATTGATGACGGGGACGCCGGGGGATGCTGAATCGCTTTCAAACTGTCTGCTGCAGGCGTGTCAACAGGTGTATCCGATGAAGTCCCAGGCCGAGGCAGGACAACCAGAGGACCGCATGCAGCTTGTAAGGGGGCCCATTGCTACTATGTGGCAAACCTGGCGAGAAATGCGTGCTGTTCGAGCTGTCACGCTACGCTCCATTGTGAATGCCTGGAGACTCAGAGTCCAATTTCGGGCACAAAAGAAGGTAGTGGAGAAAGCCAGCCGGGCGCAGCGCAATCAGCGTGTGCACGGCCTGCTTGCACAGTCTGAGGAGGATGATCGGAATCACAACGCACGGGGCCTTTACTCAATTGTTCGAAAGCTTGCTCCGAAGCAGAGATACCGACCACTGCAGGTCAAAACTGAGAAAGGCATATGCTTGTCCGGACGTGAGGAGGTTGCAGAGCTCAAGAATTTCTTTGATGGGGTTTTCTGTGGCACTCCGGAGGTCTCTGTTAGCCCATGGAACAAGCCCTACTGCCCTGATGTGGAGGCCATTGCTACCGCTCTCCGAAAACTGCCTGCACACAAAGCTGTGCCACAATGCTGTGCGCCGTCCCTTGTGTGGAAGGCATGTGCTACTGCCCTGGCGCCATACATCCACGCTACGTTTGAGGACATGAGTGAAATGCACACACCCATGGTGCCCAACCGGTGGAAGGACGGATGGATGGTGCTGGCTCCGAAGGCTGGCAAGCCGCTTTGCCGAGCATGTGATGTCAGGCCCTTAGCACTGCAGGATCCGGGTGGCAAAGCAGCTATCCGTACTGTAAAGGATGCCATTCAGCCCTACGTCGATGAGTACATGAAGTTCATACCCCAGTATGCATATTTGCGGAATCGGGATGGACAACTTGCCATACTTCGTGCATGCGCGCATCTACGTCAGGTTCGTGACATGGTTGCGGGGCAGAAGTACACAGTACACCTATCGTGATGGGCATCGACGGCTGGCCCTTTGTGGTGGTTTGGCCCTAAGCCTGGATCTGCGCATGGCGTTTGATGTATTACCGCGTAGGTTGGTGGA